CTTTGCTCCACACACCGCCCCACCCCCCCCGCCCCTTTTTTTTTCCCCCTGGGCAAGCATTTGCAATACAGCACTCCCCAAATCCTTGCACACTCAGCGGTGACAGGTTCCACACCACCCTGGCAGTTAAGGTCTTTATCCAACATGCAACACTGGCAAGAGAAGCGGAAAAATCCAGCACACTTGAAATTCATACTGTCCTTATTTGGTTAAAATGCACACAGCACCGCACTTCACTAGAGCCCCAAAGGTGGATGTCTAGCTTGGTGCTCCAGCTGGTGCAGCTGCAGCAAAATCTGACGCTCTGGCTCTGCACTCTGCAGCACAATACCTACCCAAAGAGGTAACAAAGTGTTCGTGCGCATTGAGGGTTTTCATGCATCGCTTGTTCTTGAAGTCCCAGACACGTAGGGTCTTGTCATCAGCACAGCTCAAAATAAATTTTCCCCCAGAATGGAACAGAACGCCACGTACCCAGTTATCATGGCCCACCTTGTGCAGAAGGAGAAATCAGTGAGCGGGTGCACGTTTCGGGGCTAAGCACCCTCCCAGTTACGCTACGCCAAGCTGAGCGCCTCCTTGCCCCGCTCCCGCCAGGACACCATTCAGCTTCCCAAAACCTCGGAAAACTCTGAGTTTTTATCTTCGGTTTCTATTCTTACACCTCTATCAGCACCACCAACAATGCGAGTTCCTGTCCTTGAAGGCAAACAACCAGAGGGCCTCATGCGATCTGCGCCGATTCTGCTCCCCACCCCCAGCACCCCACCCAGCCCAGCCCCAGCCCCGGGTGCGAAACAGCAGGCACAGCCCGCGGGAAGGCCCGCACACCGTGAGGACACGACGTTCCCACAAGACACAATTCAGATGATTATCAGCATTTCCATAGGCAAACCAAGATGTCATCATCACAAAACCCACACCACGGTACTCCTGCATTTATACTCTCTGTTTTCAGAGTCTTAGTATTTCTTAGCAAGGAGGCCTGAAATAGAGAGGCCGTTAAAACTGTGTATTTCCAGTCTTTGTCTTATGTCAGTTACTGTGGCTTCTCTCGAAGACATCAACCCGTAAGCTAACTCATTCCGTTAAAACTGGTTGTACACAGGCAGCTATGACCACCAGAGAAACACCAGTGAACTTACAAGTGTCATAAGGCACATGCCAGTGCTAATGTCCCACATCTTAATGGTCTTGTCTCTGGATCCAGACAGCAGAAAAGGCCCAGGCTTGCCGCTCTTCTTAGTCTACAGAAAATTATGATTTCAGTTATGGCACGTATGGGTCAGAGGGGAAACAGGAGGGAGGAAGCAGATCCCTTCTGAGGGCTATTTCTTAGCAGCAAAATTGGATCATACAGCAGCTTTCAGCTAAAAAACACACTGAGACTCACAGGCATTTTGTTACTAATACCAGCAGAACTAAACAACAACAACAACAAAGGAATTAAACAATCTATTAAAAGAAATGGTTGTCTGTCCTGCTGATGCACCAAGCCAAGTAACACTTTGAACCCACACTTGCCTATGCAAGACACCCTCTTTTAACAGCAGACACAGTTCAAGCAGCCCCAGACACCTCAGGACAAAGGAGTACGAAGTTCAGACACACCTTTGTGTTCTCACTCTTCATAAAAAGTAATGAAGCAAGTTTAAGAATTTTTGAAAAGCTCCTACTCTGAACTTATTTCTGTTTGTAATCATGCCAAGTACGAAGGAAGACTCGGTTCTCCAAACTTGAAACGCTTCCACTCTGAAGTTAACCTTAACGTGCCTCCTGCTCAAAGCCTAGTGCTGTGCTGTGCAGGGGTGGTCAGACCAGCAGAGGGCAGGGGAGACACCACTTCAGAGAGTTACCACCGCAAGAGGAAGTGAACATTTGGCATTTAGTTTTAATTGCTTTTAATTAAAAGATTATAAGGATCTTCTAAGGATGTAAGTAAAATTTGACCAAAATAATCTGTAAAATCCATCACTAGACAAGTCCCTGTCTCCAGTGGATCCACTCCTCCTCTTGGGTGTTTGTGTCCTTTCTGAGGGAGGGGGCAAGGCAGAAACGCGTGGGGGCTTTTTAAGCCGAAATTGGGAGTTAATTCCTAGTTTGTTCCTTCTCCACTCTGTCATCCTTAGAAGGAAATTTCTGCTGACCCCTAGTAAGCCTTTCTTGAAGATTTAGTAACCGAACCCAAGAAGACCTATCTGTGATCACACAAATGGGGAATTCTGTTAAGGAACGCTTTCTCCCATCCTTAATTTTATACACGAGGACAGGGCGGTCAAGGCTTAACTCCAGCGCGACACACCCGAGGCAGCTTCGTTTCTGCGTTCCTGACTCACCGCTTCCCCCCGCAACCTTCACGGCTGAGCACCCCTACAACCTTCACCTTATGCCAGCTGAGCCGCCTCCTCGGGAACAGAGCACCGCTCCAAAGCTCCCTTTCGTTAGTGCAAAGGTAGGGTCCTACTGTTAAAAAGCACAAAAGCATGGATCCCAGGAAGCCAAGAGGGGGGATGAACAGCAGCACACCAAGCGTACTAGGACGAACTCTCATACCCCTGCTGTATCTGCCAAGCACCCTGAGAGTAAAGCCTCGTCGTTCCCAACGCTATCCAGCAAGTTCTATGTAGAGCAGAGTCAAAAAGTCTTATTTAACAGCATGGGAAGCGTTACCTCTGATCCCGTAGCTTCTGATATGGTGGAGTACGAGCTCTCGGGAGCCCAGGAAATGCATTCTACCACGTGCTCATGTTCTCGGAGCTCAGCTTTGCATTCCTTCGTCGCTACCACCCAAACACGCACTGTCTGGTCATTAGAACAACTGGCAATTAAGGTGCCATCCTGGTTAGGTCGCACCATGCGCACCCATTCTCTGTGACCCGTGAAAGTCTTCACACAGTAACTATTCAAAAAGAGAAACACAGCATGACTCCATTAACATTGCAACACAATCATCACACATGCCTTTGAAATTTAAGGACGCTTGACCTACTCTTGGAAGTTAAGATAAAATATTTTAGCATGCACGTGTCCATCCTCGATGACGATGTACAAGGCCAGAAAACAGTTCATGGAAAGGAAGCTGATATGAGAAAGAAGTGACAGCTAGGAACTCGCAAGTCCTTGTTAAGCTAGAATGCAGGAAGCTTAGGGAAAAAAATGAAGTTGACATGACAGCTTGCATTAAATAGGTATTTTAAGAACAAGTAGAGATTTACAGGCTATTTACAGATAGCCTTCACCCACGACTTCTAGCAAACAGATGGATAAGAAACAACTAACAAATGAAACAGTAAGACAACCCCTCCCCAAAAATCAACAAAAAACCTCTACCCCCTCCCCCCCCCCAACAAAAAAAAAGCAGAGGAGACATCTGGATCTGCGTCAAGAAAGGTAACAGATCTCTCCTCCCTCCTCTCATGCTCCCTTTAAACTTGTGGTTAACCACCAAATTTATACTCCTACCTGGTCCTGAGTTATGGTGTTCTACCCTCATAGCTCCCAGAAAGATAAAGCCAATTAGTTTTAATTAGTCGGTACTAAAACCTAAAACCCTGCGCTTAACGATTTAAGGCGAGTCCTTAAGTGAATTACTCTAAAGGGCACAATATCGTACCTCAATTCAAATAAAGTTTGCTGACATTCAAGATTTACATGGCCCATTTCCTATAAACAGTGGTTTACGCTGGTTTTGTTTAGCTGCTGATGTTCAGCCAGAAGTGCACTCACCCTGTTTGGACTTCCCACATTTTGATAGTTTTATCCCTTGAGGCAGAAACTATATGATCTCCATTAGGCATGATGGCTACTGAAGAAACATTATGATCATGACCTAAAAACAAATAAAACCTTTATTAAGTGGTACTGTAATAGTTTTTACAGAGCACACAGGACTTGCTATTCATTTATCTTGGGCAAGTAGCTGGAGCAGTAGCGCAGGTTTTATGCAATAATCTTTACATGTAAACTTAAGGTTTTATGAAATAGTAATTTCTATTTTCAGAAACCACACAGTCCAGACATGGAGAATCCTTTAAAACTGTTTCAAAAAGGTACTTAAGATGTTTTAAAACCAGACACCACTGCAAGCAACACTTCTACCCAGTTACAAAAGCTGGTAGTTTAGAAGACAGAGCTGCTACAGTGACTTTAAAAAAAAAAGTGTCTTTTACACTTTAAAGTGCCTTTAAGATGATCGGTCAGGTCTGATCACAGTATGCTGATGCACTGTGCAGACGTTTAAAAGGCAAACAGGTCTTCAGCGAGAGGTGTGCCAAACCTCACTGCAGCAGCTTAATGCTAGAAGACTGAATGTTTCCAGACACCCGATATCAGGCTTTAATAAATCACTGTACTGCACGGATTCAAGGACCAGTAAGAACTGACTGTATATACGTGACAGCAACCTCTGCTACTGCTGAGAGACCCAAGAGGAAGATGATCAATGCCGAGTCAGGAAAAAGCATCCAGACTGTTTCCTGAACACAAACTCCTGAGGACCTCCTGTATGTGGCTTCAGCTCTCGACCCCACTCATCCCACAAGCAGTGGGACACAGCAGATAAAGGCAGATAGCACGCTCTCTAAAGACTTCTCATTTCCAGTATTACAAAAAATTAGAACTTAAACTTCCCAAAGTGGCAACATTAGAATTAACTGTTTTGAAATTTTAGTATTCTCCAGAACCAGCTGTTGGGTAGGGATTTTTTGACAAGCCCAGTGTACAAGCTCAACAATAACAGGTTGTATGTAATTCCTGCACTTGTCTTTAAGCTCTGCAATTGTCCCTACTCAAACTGTCGGGATTAGAAATGAATCTTCCAAGATCAGTAGTTTAGAGTATATATAATTTCTGAGCAGATTAGAGGCATTAAACAGCTTCCTTTCTTTCCATCTGGAGATCTGATGTTCTTTTTTCCAAGAAGTTACAGTCAGTAAGTTCACTACTAAGGTGTTGTTTTACTTTTATTGGCAGCTACATTGCATCTTGCATGCCGTGGACCTAAGATGATGTACAACTTCACAATTTTCATTTCCATTTTTTCCACTAAGAACTCAGAGCCCCAGCAAACTCCTACTAAAAAACAATCACACCAGTGATCAACTATCTGAAGTGTCAGAGAATAATAGTTTCAGTGCAAGCACGGTACTTTACAACTCCTCACTGAACAGATTATTTATTTCTTTTTACTTGAATTGAGTTGAAGGGATGTAACTGCCAACACGCATGAAGCTAGTTCACCCACGCGCCTAAGTTCATAAAAATACACATACTGCGTGTGTGTTCATACAGGAGTCTTTGAAGGCCAAAAAACCCTCCAACCCTGCAGCACTATATTTTCTTGCTATCAGGCAGCTGCAACGCCTGTTCTTCCTCTACAGTCATGTTCTGTGGAGTTTAAAAACTGCATGCACAAAAGCCAACAGCTGTCTGTTTTCTTTGCTGTACGTGTCCCTGGGTTTATTTTCATACATCTCATTCCTTCATTTCCACTCACCACTTCTACAAGACGATATTAAAAGCAAGACAAGCAGTAGCATAAAATGCTTGTACATTGAGACTACAAAATAATTAGAATCTTGTAGTTACAGTGGTTTCATTCTCCCATTTCTTCCTCAGGCTGCCAAGCCTAATGCACAGGGCGCGTTCCTTCGACACCAACCATGAGCGCAGGACTGCACCGGCACACAGAACACCTTTTGCACTACTTGCTTCCCTCCTGAAGCAGGATCAGGGAAGTAGAGAGCTGAAGGAGGAGGTGATTTTTCACTGATTTGAAGGCACAGTTTTACTGTCTAGTAAGCACTTAATTTTTAGTGCCAAATCCCTCTAACGGCCATTTCATTTCAGCATCATTATGGGACGCTTCCCACAGCAGCACATGTAGCAGATTTCAGATGCTACTTCATTCCACAGGCACTACACAACACCTCATTCACAGAGCACTCAAAGCATCAAAACATCCCCCCTCTTTCTTTTGGACAATACTCTGGTTTATAACCCCTTTCCACATCACCAGTTTTCCTGGATTAAAAAGAAAAATCACTTTACAGACTGCAACATCACTTCCCTTTGTACCTTACCATGCATAGTTCTGATGCACTCAAAGCCCTGGAAATCCCATAGCTTAATGGTCATATCAGCAGAACAGGAGGCCAATAGTTTGCCAGTGTGGTCAAAGGAAATATCTTGCACAGAGTCTGTGTGCCCCTTAAGGGTTCGTTCAAAGTCTCCTGTCTCGTAATCCCACACCTGACAAACGAACAGAAAATCCGTTAACAGCAACCTATTACTCTTTGTATTCTCCAGCCTTATATTTGCACTCTGCAGGCCAGTCTGGCACATTACTCAATAATTAATTGTGCAAGAGACAAAGACAGACAGCCCGAAAAAGCTGAACGGCATAGAAAAAGCAGCATTATTTTTGCATGACTGTTACTTATAAATTAACCAAATTCATGCATCTTGAGAACTGTTTTTCAGCTAATTTAAAGCATTATAAACACAGCAGGAAAATGAGTTCCATTGTATCTAAAAGTCTTAGCACCCAATACCCTTAAAACAAAAAAGAGTGATTTAGAAACATTGGACAGAATAAATCCGCTTTGCACAGACTGTTTTTCTCCATCCCTTCCTATGCTAGTTCCCTAACTCCAGCAATACAGCCCATTTTCAGCTGGTGGGGAAACCACCATCTTTAACACCACCCCCACTCCCCTTTCCCAAGCTTTATTGTGGCTCCAGAATTTGCTTGCTGCTTCAGAACCAAACAGCAAACACTCTGCATGCTGAAGAGCAAGAGTCAGAACGCACTGGTTCAGCAATGGTAATCCAAACCACTCTGAAGAGTTCGATACGCACACATCAGCAGATTACAGCGTTTGTCAGAAATTAAATACACATTTGCAGTTAATAACTGCAAGATAGCATGAAGCCCCCACTCTCACCTCCTAATTAAGTCAGTCTTCTATCATCTAACTGCAAACAAAAGCTTTCGAAACAAAACAAGTTCCTACAGATTTTACTGTGTCTCTCTCAAGCACGAAATTAGATAGTTCATTTTAAATTATATCCTAAACAAATGAAAAAAAAAAAAATCACCAAACAAAACAAAACCCACCCAACAACAAAAAGAATCCATCATCCATCCCAACAGATCGCAATCACTGGGAATGCAAGTCAGAAATCAAGCTCTAGAGCCTGACTTCAAGAACATGGCAATTCACCCAGTGTATCCGTAAGAGGGAGCAAACCCAAAGTTAATTAGGCTCCTCCGTAACATCTAACACACACAGAGCTGTCACTGCTTCAGCTGGCCCTGTCTGCTTGAAGGAAAAAACCACCAGTCCTCTATGTTCAAGTCTGCTGCAGAAACAAGAACAGGTTAAAGCTTTCCATGAACCGAATCTGGCTGACACTTTTTATTCCAACCTTCAACAGGCAGCCACTATTAGAACAACTTGCATTTTTAAGCACATAGCTCAATGCACTCCTCAACATTTTCAGAGCAGCACTTTTCCAAATAGTTTTCAAACCAGTGTCGAAGAGAACAAGAAGTATCCTTTATCAGGATAATTCCCTTAAATTGTGACATTCCAACAACAACAAAATGCACAATCACATCTTTCTTGGATGCTAAAATGAGAAACTGCTCGCCTACTGCAAGAGAACTCTTTATGCCACTGTATATTGCAATGAAGGCCTACAAAGACCTTTTAACGTCACGGGGACTTCATGGGACTTGCATGTCCATTTAGAGTAAATGGGAAGAACAGAATTTCGGTTCAGAATACAGCTGCATAACCACTTCAGCTCAGCTTTAAAAATAATCACTTCAGATGACTTCAGGCAACTGTCTTCCTCCTCCTCATCACGTCACTACTCTATATGCCATTCCTCCTCCTCCTCTGAGCAGTCCAAATGCAATCTTCCCCCACCAATACTTTATTTATTTCTCCAGTCTCTAAATCCACATTAGTTTATAAAGTCAAAAGACAGCAAAATACTCTTGAAGATATTAACTGGACCAGCATAAACCTAAGATCTGTGGATGACACAGGACATCATACTGTCCCTGCCGAAGCCGAATCTGAAACCATCTTCCATCAGCACGACACACATCCAGCTTGAAGTACTGATGTTACAGATTGCACAGCCTCTGATTTGCTTAGTTTAATTTTCTGTTGCAAACACATACCTTTATTGTGGCATCCTCTGAAGCAGAGACCATAACACTGAAAACTGGATGGAAAATTACTCGAGTGACAGGACTCCTATGTCCACTCAACGCATACTTCTCTGGAGGACGAGGAATCCACTCTTTAGGGTCTCGTTTCTGACCAAGAGGTCCACCTGATGTAAATTCTTCCTTAGCTTCATTCAGCTTCGATTCTAATTCCATTACCTAAGTTTATGAATTTTAAAGAGACCGTTCATTTCTATTTTATATAATATTTAATCCACCTTCAGCCATTAATAATCCAAATACCAGCTGGCTCCCAAACTCACAGTAAAGCAAAGACTGCACGGGTGCAAACAGATCACCAACATTCAACAGTGTGGGTATTTCTAAAAATCAAACCTAAATTAATAATTTATAAATTATTCTTTAATCATTTACTCTTCTCCAACTTCTCAAATATTTTGACAGGAAAAAGTTCTACAAAATACCATTCACTGGTACAAATACTGTACAAACACGTCTGAGCTGCTATTTTGACAAACTACTGAAGGAGGCTGTGTTAACAAAAAGGAACGCAGCGTAGGGCAATAGTTTCCTTATCCCCGAGACGGCATGCGTGTCAACCCACAGCACAGAAACGGAAGGTATAATAAAACCTTAGATCTATTAACCTTCACAACAGATAGGTCTTTATTGTTAGCACACTGTGATATCTTTTTTTTTTTAATACACTCTAGATCCATTGAAGCATTACTAAAAAGAGTTTTGTACTGTCTACTTGCAGTAGAATCACTTCCTCTAATGCACTGGAGTTAATGGTTCCTTCCCTTTAACGTAATGGCCAAAGACAACTGGCAGCACAGGTTTTACCCTCTTTCTAAACCAGTCAAGCCTTCTGAAGACAGCTATTCAATCTGTCCACTCACAAACTGCCTAGAGGCACCTCTTTCCAGCTTCAGAAACTGCACATGCAATCCATAAACTGAAGTCAGGAAATTTTTATAAGGAAACTGGGAGGATGTCTCTGCTAGCACTGAGATAGACACAACATTTCTTACAACAAGGATTTAGCTATTTTCCCTACCCAAGTCCTCAAAATTCACCTGTGAGGCATCACTTTCTAAACCCTGTATTTGTCCGACAAGGCAAATACGTAACATTCTGTTCAGTGATGAATATTTGCTTTCAGCCATAACTTTTTATACAAGTAAATCCACCAGATCTCTACTTACCTTCTTTTGTAATCTTATAACAGATGTCCATTTTTTTTCCAGAAGTCCAGCATACTTCTTATCTAACTCTTCATTCTGAGGAGAAGTATTTAAATAAATTAATATATTCTAGTTCTAAAGCCTGTAAAGTGTTTCTTCAAAGGCGACATAAATAGCTCATTTTAATAAAAATACCTTGACTATAGAAAGAGTAGTCAAAGTATTCAAAGAGTATTCAAGAAAAAGACGATACTCAGAAGCAACCACACTTTGAATTTTAATAGCTACAATTTCCACAGAAAAGAAGAAAACATTTTAAACCATGTCATTTTTAATTAAAAGCGCTGCAGCAATACAGATTAATGATGCTAGATTCTGCAAATAAAATCCAAGAACTGGGACTAAATGGTCATCTGTGCTGTTTTCTATCTCCATTACGTGAAAGCTTTTTAAGTGCTTTGCCCATCTGAGAACACTGTGTCATCTTTTGGTACAGGATTCCCCCCATCCCTCTGCCCAACGAACTCAGGAAAAACACAGCAGACAGCAGGCCCTGACTGCAAGGACCAAGCCACACAGAAGGGTAACGAGTTTCTCAGCCAGCCTCCTCTCATACCCACCAACCAGAGCACTAGGAACTAACGAACTCCTACCTTCAGAGCTCCGAGCGTGCTAGCACTGCCACTTGTGAGCACAGTGCACTTTTTCCTCTCGTGGAAGCACGAGTTTCACAGCTGGAGACAGCTTTCAGAGTAGGATCACATATACTCCATCTCACTTGAAAACCAGTTAGCCCAAACTACTCTGATTTTATTTTAACTTGGTTATAGCCAACCTCAAATCACCCCCATAACACTGCATTGTTTGGTGCTGCCTTCTCAAAGGCAAGCTTTAGGCCCATTCTCCCTGCATCTTTATACCTCAGCAGATGACCACACCTGCCCTACTGACCACCACCTCAGATACTGGAGAAATCAACACTCATTTCACAACTCTAATGAAAGTTTAATGAAGAATAATTTTCTTCCACTAAATATTTTTCTCTTTTGGGCTCTAAGGAATAGCAGAGGAGCAACGACAAACAGCTAATGTTATTGTAAAAGCTGCATTTTCTTTCCATGTACGAAATCACAATCTCATACAAGAATAATTCTAAATTAGATGGAGAATAACAAGGGCATGGGGAAAATAGCAATGCCATGGCTTACTCCATAAAAGCTCTGAGGACTGGCTACCTTGGTCAGAGACCAGATGTTAGCCTACAACTTCATGGGTGTTTGTAAAAGCTGGAGTTATCTGCAGGATTAATCAATACAAGAAATGAAATCCCTCTTTGTAGAGCCACACTTGAACCCTTCCAATTTACTGAAATAATTTCTGCCTTTAACATTTTTGTCATCATTTTAGGATAGCTCCCTCCAATTCTTGCAAGAAAGTCATGTGGAACTTCCAGCAACAGCATTTTCTATTTCCCTCAGGACCATCTAGCCTATTTAGACTGCCTTTCTAACCTTGGGAAGAGAAGACTTAATTAGGTTGATAGATAAGGCAGATACAGGAATGGTATTAGGATTTTCAATTATAAGCATGGTATTCCAATTTGTCATTTCTACTTATTTATTAGATGCTGGAAGCAGATTGTTAAGAAATTAAGTAAAACTTCAACAAAGCTTTTTGGAAAAAGAACAATGCAAGATTTACATTAGAGAAAATGCAAGGATTTATCAAAAGTCAGCACACAGAAGTTTACTAGTCGATCCAGCTGTATCCACAGAAACTTAAATTCAGATGAAATGCACATCTCCTGTGCTAGTAAGAGGCAAGTTTAAAAGTGATACCAAGAATCATCTGTCACAGGCAAATCACCAGAATTGAGCTGCAAGAAATGACTGGTCTAAGTCACTAGCATCCGTACAGCCTAACAAAACAAGAGTTGCTCACCAGACCTGGTCAACTTATATTAACCAGTTTAGGCTTGCCCTCCTACTACACAGTTAACCAACTGGTACACCTCAGTTTCAGGCCATGATTTAAACACCGACCCAACTCCATTCACAAAACAGACTTCCACCATTTGCTCAGTATGATAAAGGGGAGGACAAAAGCAATCCTGTTAAGTCTTCCTGTTTCTTAGACATTACCATGTGAAGTCAGCCTCCAAAGCTGCACGGTCTTATATCATTTCAGATCTGGTTACAAGAGGAGACTCTTCAGTTTTCTAATTTTGGATTACAGAAAGTTTGTGTTTTTACACAAAATTCTGTCGTAAGAACAAGCACAGTTAAAAAACGAGTTACCGGGTTTTTTTTTTGAGGCGTGGACACAACAGCAGGAAACAGAAATTAAATGTGTTAAAATTAAACACGTTTTCCTCAGTATTAAAACAGAATAGTTCAGGTCAGAAAGGACCTCTTGAGATCATTACATCCAAACCCCCGGCTCAAAGCAAGGACAGCTGGAGCGGACTGGCCAGGACTGTGTCCACTGAGGTTTTGAACAACCCGGGGACAGACACTCCACAACCTCTCTGGGCAGCCTGTTCCTGCACTCAACCACTCCGACGGTTAAAAAAAAAAAAAAATTTGTATTATGTTTAGCTGGAATTACCTATGTTTTAATTTCTGCCCCCTGTCTCTTGTCCTGTCCCTAGCAGCACTGAGGACAGCCCAGCTCGGTCATCTTCACACCCTCCCATCACGTATTCCTAAACCAGGGTAAGGTCCCCCCAAGCCGGCTCCTCTCCAGGCCGAGCAGCGCCACGCAGCCTCTCCCCATACGAGAGGTGCTGCAGCCCTACATGGAGTTGCTGCTGTGAATCCAGTGACGGGCCAGGCCTTTTTTTTTTTTTAATACCATCTTCTATCACCTTTCTTACACATTCATGCTGCCTTTGTTGGCTTTGTTTCCTAGCACCTTTCACCTTGAAGTATCCAGGCCCTCTTAGGACTTGGGTCCTTAAAAGGCCATTACAGGAAAAACTCAGCATTATATTGGTGAGTGGTAGCTAGACACACACACACAAAAAACCAGAAATATGCCCAAGTCACCAGTTGAACACAAAGGTAAGAGTTTTGCTCAGAAATCACCAAGTCATCCAAAGATTATTTTTTAACTTTATGGGAAGGCCATAAGCCGTATGAGTTTATCACCTCCAGCTCTGAAACTGCACGAGCTAATGGGCAGATAATAGATACACGTGTTCAGAATGGATGCAAATGACAAAATTAGAAACTCTTTACTTAAAATACAGACGAAGAAAACTGCTTGAACTCACCACATCTAACTCGGCTTCCTTTTTAAAAACCGAATATGCCTCTTCATAGCCATTAGAACGAAGGTAATCTGCTATTGCTCGATTTCTATAAAAAAAACCCAAAGAACAGTATCTTCAGCCACAATTCTGAGGAAGAGTAGAAGAATTGGTTCAGATAATCGTGCTTTTTTATAAGTCTTCAACACAGTACAACAACTAGGATTACAGGTTTGTTAAAAGCCCAAACAAATTTTATAAATACGTTTGTCAAACAGATTTTGCTTCAATAGCAGGATACACGTTTTATGTTTGGTGAAGAGATTTTTTTTTTTCCTTTTAAGTTATCAAACATTGAAGTAGCATGAATGTACTTACCCATCATACATAAAACCCATACCAGATACAAAAGTGACAACCACATCTACATGTTACAGTTGTGGCTTTATCTTTGAAGGAAAACTGTTTTGGGTAGAACAGTCTAGGGTACAAAATTTAGTTCAGTTAAGCTTGAATAAAATGCTCACTTCAAGAGAACAAGTCTTAGCTTTGCTTCTCAGAATGACGCTGTAACTTCTAGCTAGATTACACAAAGGGATACTGCCTCTGAAGAAAACGAACCATGCTTCAAATGTCCCATTATTCTTCAAAACATTCTGCATTTTGACACAAGACAATTACCAAATTAATCTGTCTTGAACCTCTCTCTCGAGATAGCATGCATTTGTTTTGGACCTACTCATAAAGTTTCAGGAGGATTCTAAGACTTCAGTAAGCAGTCAGCACCTTCTGTTTAAGGGAACAAGGCTAAGAAACCCTGCATTTTCAAAATTTACTTCAAATGGATAAATATTTTCAAGTTACACCACAAAGACGGTTTGCTTAAGAGAAGAAAGACCTTCTAAACCAACTTAAAGGTAAAGTTAAGGTCAGTTACTTTATCAGCCTCCAGAAGGAAGCCTAGTTCTGTTTTCTTATCACTGCTTTCTTGAGAAGAGGTAAGTGTGGGCATACATATATACACGGGCAGGGGGGCAGAGGACATACACATGCTACAATATTTAAGTAAACTGATAAGAGTTACTTTTAAAAAACAAATCAGAAGGTCATCTACACAAGGCATTCAAGAGAAAATTAATACTCTTTGGCAGCTGAAGAAAGAAGCAATAATGACTTTTTGCTTTGAAAAGAATTTGCCTTTCTTTTGAAAAGAACTTGCTTTTCACATGTAAGTTCTTCCTGTGGCTTTCATCACATTCTTCTCTCTTACCTTTCACATGTATTCAATCTCTCCTCAGACATTCAACTCTAAATATAACTCTGCATTCAAGCAGAAATTTCAAATTTCTCCCCATCAACAACGATGCTAAAACAAAATACTGCTGCCTCAGACCTCTAAAGTAAATCCTAGGTCTCTGATCATCTCCCATTTCCATTCATAACAGTTCATTACGTCCATCTCCCCATTAACACATGCACTCTTTGAAGTTTTTGCCACAAAAAAACACTTCAGAGAATTGTGAAAAAAAAAAATCATAATCCTGAATGTGTTTAAACCCCAGAGCTGCTCCAAATCTAATGAACAAACAGTTGTTAAAAAAAAATAAAAATCACAATTTGAAGATAGCTGCCACTCTACTTTCAGAATAGAGTAGTATACAGACCAACAAAGTCAATGCATCCTGCATTTAATAGAAAGGGGCTTGAATCACTGCTGGAAAAGTGAAAAAGCTGTATTAAAACAACTAAATATAGAGCTTACCATGGACAAGAGAGAAATCAAATGCTAAATTACACTTAGTCCACATTTCTAAAAGGAATATAAACCCAAACCACAAACTGTATGTATGTTTATGGAAGTGAGCATCATGTGAGACATTGCCATCCTGATGGCTACCCACCACCTGCCCTTTCATGATTTATTACACAAGAGAGAGCAAACTAAGGCATGGAACTTGACAGCCTGTTCCTAGCCTTAAAATCTGGAAAGAACACCTTACCTTAAATTGAATTAAGGTGGGGGTTTGGGTTTTTTTTTATTATTTTGGTTGTTGTCTTTTTTTTTCTTTAAATATACCCTCCATTTTAAATACAATTTAAGGAGCCAAAGAAAAGCTTGTAATCGCAATGTAGCACATTCTGATCAGATCCTTAACTCCATTCAGGAGTAAAATAGCAAAAAACCTGTCAGAATTTACTCAAGATGAAAGTAGAATTCACAAATCAATCTGGAGCATATACTGCAACGTGTTTGCTGCTCACTGTAACCCTTCCATAACTTCGTGATTGAAGGCAAAACAAGACAGATAATACATTACAGCAAATTGAAGAATCTTGGGTTTATGCCATTAATAACTTTTAAATTATGTTTTCACCATTTCACAATTCCACTATCAAATACCAGCGGTTGTATCAAGAGTAAGAGCACAGAGATCTAAACCATAACACATGGTACTTGATCTGCATGTGAGCAGGGTCACTCTGTAAAATCAATTTGCAAACAAAAGTTGATATTTAAAGTTTAATGAAAGTGTGACACAAACATAAAAATAACAATTCCTTACAGTTCATCTCGTTGCCTTTGTGACAGCACCATTGTGGCTGCGATGTCAGGTTAACGTGATTCAGCAGCAGCTGCCTCCTCGAGATCTAAAGTCCTAGGAACCCTGGATCCACAATTCAGTCTGCCAGAGTGGCTTAAATCAGAAGTATTTTTCCAGACGTGAAATCCAATAGGAAATCCGGAGGCATTCAACACAGAAGACTCAATCCATCTAAAAGGAAGAGGAAGAGACACCATTAATTTCCTTTGAATAAGCATTCAGTCACTCTGGACTGACATGAAGATTTCTGTACTCAGACCACAACACTGCTCTGGACAGAACAAACTTGACTGCAATTGTAAATGCCTTTTTTAATTTTTTTGCTAGTCTGCATTATGCCCTTATAGCCCATCTCCAACCCGGACCGAGTAGTCTGGGGGACTTGTACACTTACTCGCCCTCTTCCCACCATTACTCCTTCAAAAAACAGCGAGCTGAAGGAGATCTCTTCAGTCACAGCCCAGTTTAGTTTGTAGGCAACTCCATCGTACTTTCTTGTGACAAAAAGACCTTAGGCTCCCCTGTAACCAGCCTACTTTTTGCAGTCACCTCTCCTAGCAAAAAGCTATCCCGCAAAATCCTCCATCCTTACCCTACATCTTTTTATCTTCTGTAGATTTATCTCTTCAAACCAAATCCAGCCAGGTTCATTCAGCTAATTTCCAACACTCTAGGTATCAGCCAACGCTCTCCTACACCTTTCCAGGTTTAGGGGAGAGTTTAAGGAAAGAAGAGAACGTTCCAGAAAGGGGCTATGCAAGATCTACGGCACACCTCAGGCCATAACCAACGGCATCAAGGCACACTCAGTTCGTCACTGTAGCTCATTCCTGGCATTACACTGGATGGTTCTCTAGGGTTTACCCAAATAGCATCTTTGAAGACCACAGCTGTAATTCAGCATGTGAACTTTACAGGCAGATTACTAAAACAATTCTCTTAGACAAACTGCTTTTTCTGTGCTAGTAACACTCTCTGAAGAAGTTCTGAGGAACCATGTTCTAAATGACAAGACTTGCCACTTTCAGTCACGTGTTAACACAGTTTACCTACAGTTAATCTTTTATATCACCCATATTTGGGGTTTAGCAAATTTTTAAACAGATCTTCAATCTTATCAGAGCAGCACAATTGCTGTGGCACAGAGCTGCCACAAGCCTGTTACTTCAGCTGGATTCAGAGAGTGACTCAATCCCTACATATCTGACAACATAAGCTAATTCAGAATATAGCTGAAGTTTGATGTATTCAAGATAGTGTTCAAGTCGGTCAGAATTGTCCATTTCCTCCCCCCCATTTAACATCACCTTACCCAGTAACATGAACTTCAGCATTCTTCATGTACAATCTACTTCAACTGGACAGTTTCAATCTTTGCCAAGGCAACATCACCAAAATCCCTTTAGCAGCACTGCCTTTTGATTTCTGCACTGCAGGTACTCTTTTTGTAAGCAACATGATTACGAAAAATGCTGAAGATGGCATTTCTTGCATACCTGGCAAGAGTCTGTATATAACACATCATTTACTCAAGCCGTTCAGCAAGTTTGGCCAACTGGCTTTTAGCAACGAGATAAACGGAACATGACAATGCCCAAAGACTCAGGAGAGCGCAGCTGGGTTTGTAAACTTTCTACCAACTGCTGCAGGACACACGTGCTCCCACTGCCCCACCCTGACTGTTTCTCCCCTAGACACACAGGTACACAAGGTTCACTATAAAAGCTGGATAACAGTTTTGGTAAGGAGCCCATTTTAAACAAAAGCCTTTATTAATTTACAGAAAATAGTAAGCTTGTATCATTAATGTCTACTTATCCATCACAGGGGATCAGGAGCTTGTTTCTAAACCTATCTAGGCTCTGCTGTCTGCTTCAAAATAAGCTTAAGCTGCAAGTTGCTTGTATTTCACTCTGCCGGTGGATTTTCCACGTCAAATGCTGTACACCATAATACTGCACTGCAAGCCGTTTAGTACAGGAGCACTCTAAACAGGCAAGACATTATTTAATTAATTTTGCCTCTTCCCTAATAGCTCTTTCAGTACAATTCAGTTGAAAACTGATAGCACAGGCTGCATCCTTTCAGAGAATAGAAGCGAACGTTTCACTTGTTCTTGTCCCGGACCTCACCTCCTGACAGGTAAAGAGACAACTGCTTTTCCATAGATACTTCTATTGTACAGTGAACAAGATGCATCGCATATAAATTAATGGAAATTTAGCTAATATAAAAAAGCAAGGTATCGAAACGATCAGAAGAAGTGCCCTCTAGAGGGCAATGCTGCTATAAATTTAAGTATTGAAAAATCAAGGCTTATAATGGCTGAATCTCTGCACTTCACTACGAACATAGCAACACTTTCAGTAGCAATAAACACTGTGGAGACAAACAAAATAATCCACTACTTCATACACAGAGGAGCTGTTTGAAGCACTCCATAGCAGAACATAAAGATACAAACTTCCAAAATCTGCTTGGAGTACTGCCATGGTAAAAATCACAGTATTAAAACCAGAAGGTGGTTTTTGTATTATGAACTACCACTACAGCGAAAGCCTTGGAAATCCAGCATTGGCGCAATAACTCCAGTAAAAAAATCACACTTGGGTATTTTGTCAATTTTGTCACTGCATCTAGGAAACATAACTATAGCACTTGCCTAAAACTAACACCAACTGTGTTTAGGCTATCTTTGACACATCATCCAGCTAGAAAAGCACTTTTCCCCCCTTAAATGTAATGTAACCCCAAACTTCCCTCCCTGTATCCCTAACACTTAGCAACACCTGGCCGGCTCCGTCCCTCTAACTATGAATTGTTATTCAGAAACAGATCTTAGCACTAGATGAATTTCAACAACTGCAGGGCAAAGCAGCTATTTCTGCTATTAGCAAATTCCCGCCGATTCACAGTAATTACCAATCAACACATCTACAGTATCATGCTTCTTTGAGAAGCGTCTGTTCCAAGCACCATCCTCAGTACTCCTGACCTCAACTACAACGGCACCTGAATATAAGGCAAACTATTTTTAGGGCAGTCTCCTTCATATACACCCTCTTACAAAAGGCAAAACAAAACAAAAAGAATGAAAACAAACAGAAAACACACACAAACAAACCACCCCACCCAAGCAAGAATGGCCAAATCCAGAAAGCCCCAAAGAACCCAACTTTAATTATACACCTGCGCCACTTTTAGAACAGAGAACGGATGAATACTGTCCCTGTGCATTGCCTGTTCTTCAGCCAGAGAAGGCTTGTGACATACCCAGCGCAGCGGAGCAGGACTAACCAGTCCTCCCCCACTGCCCATCAGCCAGCCTCAGTAATGAGAGGAAGCAAGCGCTCAGAGAGAACCCTTGGGGGAAAACACAAACACACAAAGAAACAACACCTGTTCGCTACATCTTGCCTGAAATCCATCATTTTTAATATCGGCAGCTTACGGTGAACAAGGGGGTGTCAAGACAGAGCTAGATCTTCTTTGAAAGAGGTCTTTGTATTAAAATTTTAATGCGCTCTGTATTAAGTACAAGAACAAAAAAAGACTCAAGTTAAATAGAGCCATCCATGGAGTTAACAGCTACTAATTAAAGGCAAAACAGGATGCGCCTTTTATTAATAGCCCCACTTATACTGCAAAAAGTTTGTTTCTAACTCAAGACCTATTTGACTCCATATCAATAGTCTGCACATAATAAAGCAGTGAGCGGCAAACCTCTGCACGTGTACGATCCTGCAACAGAAGTGGGCCACAAGGGTTTTCAGCCAGATCAGGGGTCTTTACAAGCATTTCAAAACTGGGAGCTAGACCTGGCTGAAGGCATTAACACTGGAACTGGTATGGTATGAAATATTTGCCTCCTACTCCTCCCAGTATCTGCTGGTTTCTGGAATGTACAGGTACCTGGTGGGGAAGGGACACAAACATTACCCACTGCAGTTTAGGCAGGCTACTTCTTTATGAAACAACACAAACCATTTGAAAACTGTATGTAACATCCTCCTCGGCCCCATCAACAGTAGCATATCCTCAACAGCCAACCACATCTCATCTCAACTGCTAACTTCCACTTAGCTAAAGATCAGCTTTTATACTTAGGACTTGTAGAAATGTCTGAGTAATAAGGACAAAAGGTCTAATTCAACCCTTAAGTGCCTTAAGGCCTGAAGAGTGGCACACTAAAGCATAATTTTTATTTAAAAAAAAAAAAAGACAGCCAAGAAATCATCACAGGCCAGAATTTTTTCCCCCTACACAAGCTCCTAAAACATAGAGAACTATTGATAAAGAACAACAAAACAAATCAGGCAAAAAAACCACAGAAAAGCAGAAGAATCCTTCCTTGTAAGGGAAGGTGGAAACAGCACAGTACATGTTCTTCTGACCTTCTCATTTAAAAAAAAAAAAAAAGAAAATAAAAGAAAGGGGAAGACTCTCTCTCTTCACGTCTAAGAATCGTCTCCCACATTCCTAAACTGAGATTCAGAGATTCCTTAGCTTCACCACCTCCAGCCTTTTGCTGGAGCCAGCTGCACTCACCACAAGAGTCACCCACACTGCGCTGAGGACACATCTACTCCTACTGAAATTGCTCTGAGGCTCAGGGATTCTGCCTGGCATGCATTTAGCCACGGTCCCACCCTGACGGTGACTGAACACACACCTTCTGCAACTGGTTAGCATCAAGGCGCTCCGCTGAGTAACTTCACACTCCAAGTGGACATCACAGATCTGAGGTACAGGAACCACCCTCTTCCCAAGGGTGACTAAGACATCTAAACAATTCAAAAGACCGTTTCTTCTTCCAGATTTTAAACAGTGGGTCCTTACACTGATGTGTATCAGTGTGGTTCAAGTGTTCCCCAGATGACTGGAAAAGTTCACAGTAACTTGACAAGAGAGACCTGCTAACCGTTCACGAGAACAGCAAAAGGAGACAGGCTTGGCTGTACCTGTTAGCTCGGAGACAGCTCTATAGTAGGTATTCAAAGCACAACAGCTAAACAGATACAGCCAGAGCAGTGGGGAGGAGTCATTTTCAGGCAAGAGATCGTGAGAATTCCCCTCAGTTCACGATACCTCAGGCCAGTAAGTGATGAGCCTTGGCTCATAGGTGTTTCTACGATGGCATTCATACTTGCTTGAGGAGATATTTCAATATT